AAACCATTCGAACGGTTAACCAACCAATTCAGCAGTTTGCTGACCAAAATCAATGGTTTTGGGGGAAAAAGCGGTTTTGGAGGAAAACAGAACCGGTCAGACCGCTTCCCAATTTTTCCAGTCTGACCGCCCGGTCTGGTCCGGTTTTGAAAACAGTGGTTTCACCATAAAGTCAATTTCTTGGTTCATATATGTAAGTCCAAATCACTTGCCAACAAAATATATTCCAACACTCTATCAACATCATCAGACACCGAACATCTCATACATGATAGGTCCCACTTTTATGGTGATCCCCACTTTCATAATGAGATATGCGGTGTCAGATCAAATTGGTAAGGTGTTGGAAGGTGTTTTGTTGGTAGGACTAGGAGATCCCAACTCCATATATGCACATTTTGTCTTTCCAAGGCTTTAAGTCTAGAGTATACCAATGTTTTAAAAAATGACTTGGAACTGAAATTGTTTTGGCCATCGGTTTTTCGGGTCGATGGTTCAACTGTCCAATTCAAACAAACAACCTGCTCTAACAAAAAATTAAAACAATAATTAAAATAAAAAATAACCAAAAACTGATGAATGGGTCAACTGCTTGTTGATCAATTCAACAGTTTTTGGTCAAGGACYGGGTTTGGGGTAAAACGGAACTGGTTACCAGAAACGGTTCTTACGCCGAACAGTCTGACCATTCGGGTCAACAACAGTTCGAAAGCATTGGGGTATACCTTGTAGTGCCATAAACTGCTGCGTGAAAGCCCTTAAAATGGACACTTAATATCAAGACTCACTTGCCAATTCGTTCCTAGTTGAATTAGCCATGAGGCATCCTTGTAAGAAAGAGGTAGTTTTTCTTTTCTTTCTTTTTTTTTCCTTTGGTTTTGGGAAAATTTCCGATCAGTACCCTGTACTTTGGCTCGAGTGACTGGTCCCTGAACTTTAAAATGCAACAATCCAGTACTTGAACTTTCAAAATATGACAATCCAGTACCCGAACTTTCAAAATGTGACAATCCAGTACCTACTGTTAACCAGTCCGTTAATCAGCCGTTAAGTGACATTTGAGAAGACAAAAATACCCTTCCAATGGCATCTAATTCTCTTTATCAACAATCCAAACATTGACAATAAAATGAACAGTCCCAAATCCTAGCCTCTTCTATTCAAAAAAGTTGATGACTATTTAGAAGAATCTAGAATTTGGGACTGTTCATTTTATTGTCAATGTTTGTATGGTTGATAAAGAGAATTAGATGGCATTCTTAGGACATTTTTTACTTTTCAAATGTCACTTAACATTAACAACAAGTATTGGATTATCACATTTTGAAAGTTCGGGTATTGGATTGTCACATTTTGAAAGTTTGAATATTAAATTATCGTATTTTAAAATTCAAGGACCAAATTATCGTTCGAGCCAAAGTAAAGGATACTGATTAGAAATTTTCCCTTTATTTTTTCTACAACAAGATTTGATTCAAAGTTTGTTATAACCAGCTCAGATGTTAGCAACCAAGTCATTTGTCACCATTAGACCTATTCATGGGCCGGGTAGCCCGATGGCTCGGCCCGACCCGCACCCCGGTCGGACTTGGTCATGTAATTAGGCCTGTGGGCCTAACCTTGGACCTAACATAGTAAGCCCGACTGTGTTTCGGGCCGGGCTCGGGATTTATCAAAAAAGCCCGGCCCAGCCCGACTCAGCATTATATATTATATAAAATATATAAATAATATAATATTTATTAAAATATATATTTTTTATTCTTTTCTTTATAATTCCTCTCTCTCTCTCTCTATTCAGCCGCTTCAGCAGTAGTAATAGTATGGGCTAAATTTCGGGCTCAGGCCCAAGCCCAGGTTTCGGGGTTTTTATGAGAGTCAGGCTCGGGCCCAAGTTRTAGGCCCGATGGTCAGGCTAGGCTTGGGCTCGGGTCTTAAAAAATTCTGTTAATATAGAGTAAAAACCCAGTCCGGCCCACCCATGAACAGATCTAGTCACCATTATTGTGGTGGGTTCTCTACATTGTATCAGTGGCCTCATCACTGACATGATTGTTTATAACATCTGAAGTGGCTGAATTTAAAAATCTTATTACTTTCTCTTTAAGTGCACACGTTTTTATGGAGGTTGTGAGCTCTTTAATAACTTATACTAAGGTTGAATAGAGTTAATAGACTACTATACCCTTGAATATTTTATTACTAGTCATTCAATTCAGCAATTCCAGTGTTATCAAATGCCTCRTCCATTTATTAGGTTCATACACTGTCACCCCACGTGAGTCAATAATAATAATAATAATAATAATAATGATGGACTTTTGAATGAATTAAAGCATAATATAGTTTAAAATTTAAATTATTCTTTAAACGGGATAACCCGATAGCCGATTTGACACCTAAGACGATCAATGATTTAATCCGGCACAGTCTCACAAATGCACCAAAATCCATCGGGTATGCTTCTATTTGCGTTCTGTCAAATTTAAATTCAACCCTTTGAATGTGAGAAGAGAATATAAATGGGTCGGATGTGAACTTTTTGTACTTCACGGAATCACAGGGCTATATAAAGTGACAAATGGGTCGGATGTGAACTGAAAACGCATTGATCCACATCGGAAATTGCATGGGCCGATCCATATTCAGCTCTAAATACGAAGATATCTGATTCAAAATTTCAGTTTTGAATGAATTAAACCACATACCTGCAACACATCAAGCTAGATCTCGCCCAACTTCACGACAATCTTGTCTTCAGATCCGAGAAGCCGTTTGGTGTTTCTTTTGGGCGGTTGACCCTTCCCAAGGGTTGGGCCCACGGATTTACTAATCCAACTTGCATCAGTTTCAAGGTCCAATATATCCAGGTTCTCCTAATCTAGCCCCATTCCTTGCAAGGCTCATTATTTTATATTCAACAGACAAAGCCTTCGGCTTTCAGAACTTTTCCCATTCTAAGTGGGCCAGTTTTATTTACTTGTTTTCTAGTTATTTAATTTCAACTTGCATTATTTTATGGCCCATTTAACTCTTTCCCCATAAGCCCATGTCCATTTATAGCTTAAATTTATTGTTCTTTTCAACATGCAGAGCCCCTTGTACTAGTTTCTCTCCTTAGTCCTTTCCAAATCAAAACAAACATTGAAAATTTCAAAAATTGAAAACATAGGATGGATTTGATATCCGTCAACCTAAAGAAACATGGCTTGTCCTGCACTTCATCTAACATCTGCAAAAGAGKGGTCCACTGATATTTGAAAGGTATATCCATTGATGATCATAATGGACAATTCCATATGAAACTTACCCTTTCAATTGTACYGGTGTAAGTGCAGATGGCTTCTGTTTCCCTTTCATTTGTATTGGTGTAAGTGTAGGTTGAGTGTAAATTCTGGTTTATTTTTGTTTTATATTTTTCTTTGGTATGTTTGTAAATAGTAAAATGTTCTCCACCTTATATGAAAGAGAATGAAGGCAGAAGGTTCTTTGGTTGGGAGGAGTAAGGTAGGAAGCAAAGCGAAATGATGTGATCATYATTTTATGTAGTGATGATCCAGTAGCTGAGATGGTCACTCGACATCCTAGCCAAGTAACTATAGGTTTTCTGTGGTAAGCTCAGTGTACATGCACCTTGTCCCCACCCCTTAATCCTTGCATGCAATACCATAAATAAAGAAGGTCGCGCAAAATTTTCATTTTAAGTGGAAAAATGAAAAATAAAATGCAAATTTTGCATCAGACACGAGTGTAAATTGTAGTTAAACTAAAGAATGGAAAACTGAGCCCGACGCACAATTTGTACCCAATTCAGATTTGTACTGCAAAACTGTAGAGCAGACAAGATTGAATTTCATGAATACATCCAAGGATCTGGAATATCTGGGTCCCCATGTTCTTACTTTGTTGCAGAGGTTTGTGAGGTTAAGAAGGGTGCACGTCGGCACCTCAATAAAGGGTTGATTATAACTTATAACAAGCTAAGATTCAAACCAATAATGGTGAGCTGTAAACACCTTCGAACTCAAGTCGTCCAAATGTAAGTACAGTTTACACTGTAAATTTGCAGTGCAAGCTAGAAAATGAGACAGGATTTCATAACTCAAAAGATGTCTGCTTATCAAAATGGCCTGTGGAAAATCACAGAAAATAAGTAGGATTACTGAAACATCTCAACTACGGTCCGTAGGACAATCCCGGTTGATTTGTTCGCTAATACTGTTTAAGCTTTTCTCTTGCTATATGCTTTAGATTTATCAGGAACATGAAAAAGAAAAGAATGAATGCATTAATCTACCTATCTTAGCTCTCTCTTTCTCTCAGACTGATAAAATAAAAACAAAAAAACAAAAATCATGAGTTAATATGCACTGATACTAAAAATTTGGTATTGGTGTGTATCATTTGTATCCCTCTCAGGCTGATAAAATAAAAAAAAAAAAATATTGATTATTAAATGTCTTGATCCTTGGTAATAAAAAATAAAACAATATATCTACCATTTTCTCTTTTCTTTTTGAAAAAATATTATTTTAATTGGCCTATTTTTTTAAGGCTCAGTTTGGAAGCACTTGGGATTTCCTACTCACTTTTCCTACCCACTCTATCCGCCGTGAATTGGAGCCACACATCTCTATTATGAATTGAGAGGTRACTGCAATTCTCGCTTGGAAGGAATAGAAATACAAATTCTAACCCCAATCCAACCCTATCCCTATGTTTTCAGGTTGAGTTCAGATTGGTCCGACCCAAGTTACAATGACATAATCCTGTATCTAAACGATAATTTATAATTAATGCTTATTCTTGATGACATTAATTTTGCATCATTTTTAAATCATTCATGCCTCCCTCAATTGAACCACCCATTTGAATGCAAACATGCAGTTTTATATTTTAAATCCTTTAAGTTAGTCTTCGAAATGCTTGCCTCATTACATTGCAGTTGCTGTTAAAACATAAATGTGGATAGTTGTGATTAACTTTGACTATTACCATGTTTCATCAAAGAAACCAAAGGAGCTAATTTTTTTTTTATGCCATTTCAGGATTGAAGGCTACATCTCTTTTCCAGAATCTGGAGGAGAAAAACATAAATGTGGCTATTTCAATTATTTGGTTGACACCCCAGACTGTCAGAAAGAATATTGGAAACCAGAAGTGAACAAGTAATTTACAATTTCTGTCTTCACACACCTTTGCTTGCCTGTTGCAGGACTCTCCGGAGCTCATCTGCAATTCCTTGCAACAGAACTGGTTTTCGGATGACACCATTTATTCCCACCTGCAAGCATCTTTCCCACACATCTTCATCTGCACTAGACGTCAAGACCACAATCAATGGCCAACTCCTGCTCCGGAACTTTCTGATTCTAATTGCAACCTCAAAACCATCCATCTCAGGCATGTCGAGGTCCAAAATAATGATTTGGAATGAAGTTCCAGAGGGCCCCAGAGCAGTAAGGCATTCAAACCCAGATGAAACAGAAGAAACTTGGCAGCCCAACTTCTCAAGCAGTTTCCGTGTTACAGCTCTATTGATATCATCATGATCAGCTAAAATAACTTGAAGGCCCCTGAACTCTGAAGTTAGTTTCTCTGATGATCCACCTGGTTCGAAGATGCCTCCTCCAATAGATGGTTGGAGTTGGAACCTGAGGATTAGTGTCATGCTCTGTGCAAAACCAAGAGTGTTTGCAACTGCCCAGATGTTCCCTTGCATCATCTGCAGATTGGTTTCAAGACCCAAGATATTAAGTTCTGAAATATAGAATGTGAAAATAAATGCCATGGCAAGCAAGAAGTGTCTCATTGTCCATTTAAAAGCATAAACACCTTAGATTTTAACCAATAATGTGGAATAACCAAAGAAGTTTTCACTGCATTCAAAAGGTTAAAATTAGGAATATGGGAGTAATTCCTTGTAATGCCGACTGCAGATACACACACACACAAACACAAAAGGCTCGATGGTAGAGAAAGATTATAAAAATTGAACTTCTCAGAAAGTGACACTATTACTAGTCATTACAAGCAAATACACCCTATAACAGTAAAGACAATTTTAAAATTCTTACTACCCACCTTATATAGATATAAATTGGGATATTAAATAAAAAATCAGGGCAAATTCTACCCCTGCAGTTTAACTATTAGCATTGTAATTACATATACAAGATTCTTTTCACTGTGGACTTACATTTATAACATTTTTTTGCTAGTCACAGAATTTATATATAGTAGTGCGCAATCTTTAGGATTGGGTAGTTTAGGCTCAGTTTGGAAGGAGTACAAACACAAATATGTAGAGCGCAAAACCTTACATTTTGTATTATTTTATATGTATTTGTACTGTACATATTTGTATTTGTACTCCTTCCAAACTGAGCCTTGGTGGAAAAAATGCTAACAACAAATGACCTTTAATCATTAATATGATTAGTCAATTTAAGGTAAAATGTGCAATTAAAATTTCATATGAGATTTTGAAAATACACTTCAATTCATGAGTTCCAAATGGTAATAGTAAAAATTTAGGAGATAATTCAAAAAATAAGAAATGTTCAAGGTAGACAATGAAATTTGTCCAAACAGCTATTTTTAGCTTATCCTGTTTAAGGCACCATCTTCTAAGAGAATAAGCTCCTGTTGMTCCAAAAGCTTGAGAAACTATCTGTTGTTTTCTCAATAAAATGGAAAAAAATTGCAATTATAATGCCATTAAACCTCCAAATTTGAATGATTCATAATTCCAATGATGTAGATGAGTAATCAGTTACTCATCCAAATAAGGCTACTCATGAAAGAAGAATATTAGCTATCTGGTTTTCACATGTTGAAATCATGGTTTTTTTATTACTATTTTCATCTGGAGCATAACTTCACAACTTCCTATTCAAATTAGAAGATTTTAAGCCCCTCATTTGTATGGATAAAACAGAATAGAGGCAGGGTATATAGTTTTTACCTGCACAAGTTTTTTGCACATACTGAAGCTCAGCCCTACCTCAATTCCCTCACTGCTGTGTTTCCTACTTGTGGGTTGTAGAGTTGATACAGAGCCCTCTGATTTAGAACCACCATTATTTATGTCAATTTCAAACTTTATATAGGCATACCCATCAGATGAGCTTGGTCTCCACATTGACCATTTCTGATCATCCCTGCCCATATTTCCATTTTCCTGAGAGACATGGAATGCCATAGATCCTCCTCCATTACACCCACTAAGAAGATTCCCAACCATATGCAGTATCACCTGAAAAACTCTTCTCTCATCACCAATCACTCGATCAGACACTGATTTCCCAATGACAATGCTGAAAGAGAGGCCATTATAAACACATAGACACCTGGCAAGGCAAGCTGCTTCTCTGATCATTGAATGCAGCCGAAAGGATCTCATCTCTAATGGAAACCTTCCTTTATCCGCAGTTGAAATCTCCATTATATCATTAATCAATGTTGAGAGAACATTGCTGGTCTTTAGCATTGATTCAACAATGATTTGTTGCTCACTGCTCAGATTCTCATGTTGCATCACTGAAAGCARCCCCAAGATGGAGTGCATTGGCCTCCTCATCCCGTGGCTCATCACCTTCTGAAATGAGTTCCTAGCTTGGCTTGCCATCACTGTATTCTCCCTAGCCTGTTGCAATGCCCGGTTCTGCTCTGCCAGTTTCTCTCTCATGTGCTGAGACTCTTCAAGAATTGCAGCATGGGACAGTGCAACAGCTACCTGATCAGCAACCACCTTAATTATCTCCAATTCATGGTCACTCCAAATTCTAGTATCAGATGCTGGAAGAACCAAAACCAGTATTGCATAACATTGCTGTATTAACTCAGGTGTTCCTCCTTTGAAGTCTGACACCCGCAACATGGGCATCCGTATTGCAGCCACCGCACCCGGCTCACCAGAACCACCGCTGCTTGCAAGACCGAGAGATGAACCCGGCATCAAGATCTTCACTTCCTTGTAATCCTTAATCTCCCTTATATCTGGATCGTTTATGGGGACAGTAGGACGAGAACTCCTCCCTATCAACTCGTGGGTCAAGTTCATCTCTGTTCTGATCTCGTTGGGCATCCAAATCGCACAGTTCTGCAGTCCCAAAGTATTAGAAAGCTCAACCAGAGTGGTATACAAGATGGTATGCCTATCCAATGACTTCCGAATCTCTTGCGTCAGCATTCGAACATGGCGGCCAGCTTCCTTCTGTCTGATCATCCTATCAACCTCTCTGTCAAGCTCCCATGCCTTCTTCTTCAAGAAAAGCTCTCTCACCTTAACTTTAAGAAGCAGAGGGATGAGAGTTACAAGGGTGATTGCAGTTGCACAGGAAACCAGAGCAGTGAGAAATTTGAAGATGGTAAGCGCCAACATTAGCTGGAACGTGTGCGGGGCATAAGTCCAGCCATTGATCAAATGGGTCATCCCACAAAGGACTATAAAGGCGATGAACTGAACCAGGACCCATTTGAATGGGACGTTGGAGCAGCTAACGAAGTAAAGGAGTTCGATAGGGATTGAAAAATAGGCTACAGCGATAAGGAAATCACTCACTCTCTGACCTTGTAGGATGTTATCCACACTCCAGAAGCCCTCGTCGTCGCAGTTGCAGCGTGGGAATCCACTATCCATTGCATAAACAGAGAAGAAGAGAGAAGAAATCAACAGCCCAGTGGCTAATGCTTTCAACATTGATTCTACGACCTGCGACTTCAATCCACTTAGTGGCGAAAGTTTCAGTCTTTTAACAATCCGACAGAGGTGGCAAGGGGGGAAACCTCCCAGAGCTAAAACCCTAGAACCCAAACATCAAGATCTATTCCCGTACCAAAAATTCCAAATGAAACCCCGAAAAGAAAAGAAAAAAAAAAAAAGAGAGAAAAAACCAAAATTAAAAGAAATCCATTTGCCAGGTCTCAAGATCTAAAATACCCAGAATCCCAAAGCCTCCAAAGAGCAAAATTGAAAATTTCCGCTTCCTCTGTTTTTCCTCTTCTGTTAAATTCTGTTTATCTACCTTTTTCTTGCAAGATATATATATATTTTTTCCATCTTCAGTGTTTACTTATGATAGCGGAGTTGAAGAGCACGAGATCTCTACAACTCACGACACCATAAACAAGAATCACCAACAAAAAGAATGCGAAGAAGGACCACTGATACCGACCTTTAAAAGCCCAGATACCAGCACCAGAAATGCAAGGCAACTAAAAGCAGTACCTAAAAAACACACACACTCCCGTGGCAAATGGAAACAAAATTTCAATGAAAACACCTTCGGATCTTTCTTTCTTTCCTCTTCTTCACGAGCCAACCTTTAAGCTTTAAAAACACTGGTTGATTTGGACGGTTTTCAGTAGTAGCTTCGCCACCTGCCGCCTTATCCAATCACGCAACGTATAGAGCACAGAAACCACCAATCTCCAACGAGAGCAGCAGAAACAGAGACAACAACGATAAGAAGACTCAAGACCCCTCCCCCTCCTCCTCCACCTCCTTCCTTCAAGAAAAACAAACCCAGTGTCGGAGCACAACCTACAAAACCAGTGTCGTGAACACCACCCTCCACCAACCTGGTTCTTCGGACATAAAACCGGCCATGTTGCGCCGTGTAGGCCGCTGAAACCCAGCAGAGGAGGAGGAGAAAAGCGGTTTTGGGTTCTAGGTTCTTTCTGTAGTTCATAGCAGAGCAGATGAACCGAAAATATCAGATTCTCCTACTGTTCTCTTCATTTCTTATTATCCTCTTTTTTCAAAATTTCAACCAGCGCATCTGACTTGAACGTGGCAACTTGGACACCGGAGGCTCTAGGCTTCATACAAGCGATATAGAAGAGAGGGGGGGAGGGGGGCAGCCGCTCGTGGTCGTCTGTTTGAGAGAAGAAATAATGAAAAACGTAAAAATATATATAATTCTAAAAAAAGGGGGAAGGGAGAGAAGAACTGAAGAAGGAGAATAGAGTGGGACCCACAATGTAGGACCCACATGAAAACATGAAGCGAACCTGGACTCCCTTAGCTCTTCGTCCTCGTCAGATCAGAAGGACTCGTACCCAGAAAAAGAGATATTATTATTTATTTTTTCTTATTCCAGGGAGCAAAGATCGAGTGGGTTTCAGTGGGCGCGCTCTCGTCAATAAACCAAGAGCACCCATGTGCAGCAGCGTTCAATTGTTGATTTTTCTAATTCTCAGCCAATCAGAGCTAAACATGTTAGGACGCTAATGCTTCTCTCAGTGGGAGCGCGGTCGTTGAATCATCACCCCCTTATAATTTATCCGTTCGAAAAAGGTAGCTGCAACGTGTTCARATGAAGGAGTCCTTATTGGTTGCATTTAGTGCATTTATCAAGTCCTCATTATGACAGATCAAGCTGTCCCCACCGAGGCACAACCGTGGGATTGTAATCCCCGGTTCGGGAACTGATAAGATGTATCATCTGTATGGAGATGGAGGATTCTAATTCAACGGCTTTCATAAAGGGCTCACGACACTTCCAATCAATCCAACAGTAACGACCGAAAAAGGACAGCCCAGGCTGTCCAATCAAGGAGATTATCGACGAGACCAAACTACGACGACTGGAGTATTTAATGTACTCCACTGCTGTAGGTGTTGCATGTCTTTGTAAATCTCGCCCGTACGTTCAACTAGGAAAGAAATATCTTGGCCGTACGTGGAGCAAATCTTATGGTCTTATCATGGACTGTGTGGTGATATTGATTGCTAGTTGCTACGACCTACGGAATGCCAGTCCCAGTCTACAGTGTCCCAAAATGCTAGGCCTGACGGAAACGGGATAGTAGGGACAAGGGACCGGGGAGAACCTGGCGGACAGAAGGAAGGGGAACGATGCTGAAAATGGGTTCATTTTGAAACCGGATTTTAATGGACGGGCTCGACACAACCGATCTTCAATTTGACCCGGCCAGCGACTGTTTTCCAGACAATCACAGCGGTTCAGCCTGTCAAAAAAGTTGTATTTGATAGATTTGGGTGGGATGAATAGATGAGTTGGGGTTTGAACTTTGAATTGGCCAGACTGGGTATTCCACTCGCACTCAGAGAGTGCGTGTGAAGTGAAGGAAGAGCTTTGCTGTTTTCTGTTTGATTGGGCAGAGAAAGTTTTGGCAATGTACGAACAAATGCTCCATTAATGTGTCATTTTCCTCTTCTCAATTTGACATCAAGCCTTAGGTGTGTTAGTTCTCTCTTAACCCTTATCTCTTAAGAATAATCTTTTTATTTTAATGGTATGTTTGGTTCGTGCAACCTAGATGACTCTTTGTTTTGGGAGAGATGGTGCGATGGGATGAGAATATCATTCTCAAAATATGGAATGTAGGGTCTCACCAAATAGGTGCGACCCCACTGAGAAATGAAAGTCGTGCAATGGCAGTGAGGAAATTTTATCGAGGGGTGGACTATGGACTATTTTCATCTCCCACCTCTGCAGTGATCCGAACTCCAATCACCTGTATCCTCCTTCATCTCCGACAAAGGTAACATTTTTGGCAGTTATTGTTTTCGTCTTCTCCGGCGAAAACAGCAAGGACAGGTTATTGTCTTCATCTTCTCTGGCGAAGGTAATATTTTTGGTGGTTATTGTCTTCGTCTTCTCCGGCGAAGACAGCAAGGACAGGAAGGACAAGTTATGTCTTCGTTTCCGATGGTTATTGTCTTCAAATCTCAGACAACAAGGACAGGTTATTGTCTTTTTCTTCTCTGGTGAAGGTAATGTTTCTGGTGGTTTCGTTTCTCAGTGACGTGTTTCTTCAGCGAAGGTAGGACAGGTTATTGTCTTCGTCTTCAAATCTCTAGTTTAACTTCGACACTCTAGATCTGGCCAGAGACATGTGTTTGCTCTAGATGTAGAGTTTTTCCGATGGATTTAGTCCAAATCTGTTCCTAGCCCCATGGATTTGTTCCAGTTCTACAGTATTTCTTCTTCCCTTCATCTCATCAACCAAACACTAGAAGCGTATTCTATAGGATAGTAGGTCTTAGCAAACAAACACAACCAAAAAATGAGAAAATAAATTCTTCCTTTCTCATCTCATCCCTTCTCATCCCACTTTTTCTTGGAAACCAAATGGACCATAAGAGAAAAATGGGTGTTCATTTCTTCTTCTCTTATTTCTTAAAGTACAATTATACAACGTTTTGTTTTCCAATGATATCCCCAAAAAGATAAACAAAAACTCCCATATATGAGGTTAAAATAGATATTTGATAATTTTTAGAATTCATAATAACATTCTTTGCATTCATAGAATTCAAAGGAAATAAAAGTTCACCAATATCAATATACCTCTTAATGTAATCATTGCACTTTCATATGTTAATTAGTTGATTCATCACCAATTAAAGGTGTAGCCCGAGGTAATCAGCGTTTTCAGCCTATTATTGACTCAAATAATGATCACCCATCCAGATTTATGGTCCATTTAGTTCATAATCCAATGTTTTAAAAAATCAATTTTTTATCTTTGAGTCATAGTTCACCAAACTGTTTGGATCGAACAGGTTAGAATATACATATACATATATACATACATATATGTATAATTTGTGTTTACTTTATATTTTTTTAATTAAAAAAGGCTAAAAATAATGATTTGAGGTTAAAAAAGGGTTTTTTGGCAAAAGTAGTGGGACAAGGTGCCTTTAGTAGATCTCAAAACATTACCAAATAAAAAAAATCACCCAATCGAACATCCAAAATTCCAAATGCAAAGTTACGGTCTCCGGAAATACATATATTGAGTGTACAACCTATGACCCGGTGATCTAATTAGACGGATCAATGATTCAACCACCTAAGTCAATCAAATGGCAGGTTTCATGCAAACCGGACCTAGAATATTAATAAAAAAGTTGATCAAGTGAACAACCTAGGGACCTGGCCGGTCAAGCTATTAAATTTGCTTTGTTAGAGGTCATGGGTTAAATATTAGATATCTTTTTTTTTTTCTGTTTTTCAGCTACTAGCATGTCGTAGGGGCAAATGCACTTCTTAGAGAAATAATTGTAAAAAGAGAAGGATTTGATATTTATTTATCTCTGTTTAAATTATTTTTATATATTATATATAAATGTTATCTTGTAAACATTTATGCCCCTAGATGCTTTTATGTTTCCATATAAGTTGATTGTAATTTATGTTCATAGTAGAACCTAAAGTTGTCCACATAAAAACTTTTTAAAAGATATACCCAAAACTCGAAAAAGACCCTCATGAAACTATCCAATAACATAAGTGAAGGGTAGTTTTGGGATTTTGAAAAGTTTCAAAGCACACATGATATTAATTAAATTAATAATTTAAATTTACTTGGTTATGTGAGTTTAATGTAATTAATTAATATTTAAAAGGTTTCGTTAATTAATTTTGAAGTTATTAATCATAATTGTAAAATTATTATTTGAAAAAATTTAAAGTAATTAGTTTAATTTAAGAATGTAATTACAATGATTAAATTTACTAATTACATTGAATAATTTAAAAAATATTTAAAATTACTTAATTTGATTACTTAATTAATTTAAGTTCCCATTGAGTCCAAAACTCTCACTGTCTAATATGACACTAGGTCCCATTGGGTCTCACACAACCCCCTTATTACCCCTCCCTCTCTCATCACCCCTCCTTGCGTCGGCATGCATTCCCATTATGGCACCAAGTTCCACATGCTCCCTTCCCTTTGAGTTAGAATTTTTCCAAAAAAGAAAACTTCCCCTTTAATAAAATCAAGGTTTTATTAAGTTTATTTATTTTTTTAGTTAAGACAAAGTTTTCAACCCACGTGTTGACCCAGATGGTTGAATCATTCAACCGTCACCCAACCATGATTCTAAATATGGTTTTCCTAAAACCCAGAGTTGGTAAAAATCATCCAACCCAAGCAGTTGAATCATTGACCCATTTGACCTTATCACTAGGTCACAGGGTGCACACTCAATTATGTGTTAAAACATAAATTAATACATATATCTCATGTCCCATAAAATATGTGAAGGGCAGTTTTGAGATTTTGAAATGGTTCAAGGCACACATAACATTAATTAAATGAATAAATTAATTTTACATGGTTATGTGAATTTAATATAATTAATTAATTTTTAGAATACTTTATTGATTAATTTTAGTGTTACTAATTACAAATTGTAAAATTACTATTTGAAAATGTTTAAAGTACTTAATTTAATTTAAGTATATAATTACATTGATTAAAGGTACTAATTATATTGAATAATTTAAAAAAAATTAAAATTACATACTTTGATTAGTTTTTATAAAGATAAAAAACTAAACATTACTTAATTAATTTAAGTTTCCACTGAGTCCAAAACTTTCTCTATCTAATATGACACTAGGTCTCACACAACACCCCTATTCCCTTCACCTCCCTCTCTCTCTCACCCCTATTCCCTTCACCTCTCTCTCTCTCTCTCTATCTATCTATCTCTCTCTCTCACCATCATCCTTGCAGTGACATTCTTTCCATTATGACATTGGGTCCTACATTCTCCCTTTTGCTTGAATCTGAATCTTCCAAAAACAATTCCCTTTAATAAAATTAAGGATCTATTGACTAAGATGGTCAAACTATTCAAAATGTCACCATTCCATCATTTTGAACCTAGTTTTCCTAAAACCTAGAGTTTGGTAAAAAAAAAAAACCATTGACTTGGTAAAAAATAATCCAACCTAGGTAGTTGAATCATTAACCGGTTCAACCCATTTCACTGGGTTATTGGTTGTACACTAATTTATATATTAAACATAAATTGATAATATATACATATATTATATGTAGAATAAAATTATTTTATTGATATAATACATGCTTATACCTAAATATACACATATATGGGTACTTATATAC